TTTAGTATACTGCTATTGTTTGGTTGTGTCACTGTAAGTTTTAGAACTAAACAGTTGAAACTGAATTTTTTTAAATTCATTGTTTTCATAGTTAAGACAGTTATTTCTTCTCGGGCCATGAAGAATCTCACTGTTACCTTGAGTGTGGAAAATAAAAAAATGGTCTGGAAAAAGTCTTGAATTCTGTCCACAAAAAAAGTGTATGAACCCTGTGACAATATGACCTGTTACTTTTTGTTTTTTCATGTGAAAAGACTCATCAAGAACCCTCTGTATATCATTATGAGCAATTCGTTAATTAATGATTTTGGATAGGGCAAGAAAAAAAATCCTTTGCTTACATTAAGATTTTTCCTCAGATATAGCACTTGATGAGCCAATCAAAGATGATGGATTTGGTGGGGAAGGTGTGGATTTTCTGGCAGATGGATTCGGAGATGAACTTGGTGGTGATGCTCTAGTTCCTGGTTTTGATGACTTGCCAACTACCTTGGCTGCTGTAGATGTTACTTTAGAACCTGTGGATACCAAGTTAGACTCAGAAGAACAGAAGGAAACTTCCAGTGCTGAACCTGGACAAGAAGAAAGTGAGTTTTATTTTTAAAGTGGAGCTTCTTGATCTACACAGCCCCTGTGCATTGATTCAATATAGTTAACCAACTAAGCTTGTTATCAAGAGGTATATCAAATGTTCCCTATGATTGATCCCTTTAACACAATTTAAAATGCCAACTGTTGACTACTAGTAATGCAACTGTAGAATTCCACTAGAGTTTTTCTTAAGGAATGCTTAAGGCTAACAGGTTTTGGTCCAAGCGAGTCTTTACTTTTGTTTTTACATTTGATTGGTTCCTTAAGCATTATTTCTATTGTTTGCATGCAGTTTCTCTTGCAACGTAGAAATAACTTAATGTAAGTGTCAAGTGACCACAAATAAACAGTGGAAAACTTAAGTTAACAAACTTGCTTTAATCTTTTTGCTATGTACAAATGTGCAGCTTTTTTAAACCTTTAACTCCTAGATCAAATTTGTAATTCTTCTCACTGTTAACCATACAGTTCTCATAATGTTATTTTGGAGAATTTAGTATTGGATCAACTAATTACCCCCAAATTGATCTTTTTCTTAATTCTTGTCACTTATCTGGTTGATATTGTGTAGATATTGTAAGGAGAAATTCTGTCTTGGTCACGCATGAGATTTAAAGGGTTAAAGCTGGTGCAACTTGGTGCAAGTGTTATAAAGAAACCTGGGAGAGAAGAGAGACCTGACTGAAATAGGGAAGCTCTAATGTCTTCCTCCCACCCCAAATAAAAAAAATAAAAAAATAAAAAAAACTTTGTCTCTCTCTTCCCCCCCCCCCTTTACAAGGAAGTCTAAATGTCCCAATTAATTTAAATGAAGAACTGCTGACCAACATTGTCTCAGTCACACTGAAGTTCTTGAATCAGTCTAATTCATTGGTTTTTTTTTATTCAAACAGGTGTTATAAATGAGACTGCAAATGAAACAACTCTGTTACACAATGAATCAGAGGCCTTTGTACTTGAACCTGTGGAAGTTGTTCAAAAAGAAAAGCGTAGTCGTAGGAAAAGAAAGCTAATAGTTGATGATGAAAAGTTGTTGGCTACAGAAGCAATCAAGTCCCAACTGTCTGACACATCTGATATTGTCCGATCAGCTACACTCGCTCCTCCAACAAAGTGCAGAATGAAGCTGAAAATTTCTTCAACCGTTGAAAAGCTTTTTGCTCTGCCTGGCACAGAATTCTTTGCATTGCCAGTGGTGGAAGCCTTTGTGCAAAATCTAACAAAGGATGTCAATGGTGGGTCTGATACAGCTGAATCAGAAGAAAAAATGGACATTGATGAACCAGAAGTTGCAAGAGAAGAAGAGGAGGGATCAGGAATTTACGAAGCTAGTAAACGATCTTCGGTTTCTTTTGCCAACATGGAGGCTAATGAGACAGTATTACCTGATGAACCCATCGATGTTACTCTTGACCAGAATTTTGAACGTCCAGGAGAAGAGGAAGAGCAGTTCTTAGCTGGAGGTGTGGAGGATATTTATCCAAACAGGGATGAGCTAGAAGATAATGAACTAGAACAGGAATTGGCAGCTTCCCAAACAAATGAAGAGCAGCAAAGCTCTGAGACAAGTGAACAGTTTGAAAACCGACGATGGACAAAGCGTACACAACAGCTGCTTCATACTCTTAAGAGAGAGTTCAACAAAAAAGACACTGTCAGCTTTGGAAGCTTGGTGCACAAAGGAAGTAGGAAACAAGTAGCGTACAAATTTTACAGTTGTTTGCTGCTTAGCAAGGAATCCAGTATCAATGTTCATCAGAAAAAGCCATTTGGAGACATTTCAATCTCTAAAGGACATAAATTTGATTCAGTGTGTTAGAAGCTACTCTTGTATTTTAGATGTTTCTACTGTTAGATAGTATCTATTCAATCGCACTACATACAATGGGCTTTTTTTTTTTTAAAGCAATTTATAAGATAGCTAAGTTAGAATTGACCCATGCAGACATTGTACTTAATATTGTTTGCTCCATAGAACTTTGTTGGAGAAAATGTTACTTACACTGGCTGGATTACATATTGCCTTATCAGTTCAAAGCCACTAACAGAAATTGGCAATTTGGCTTTTTCTCTGTCTGAAGTGCAACTGCATGATTGCCATTACATTGAGGGTTTGCACCTTAGATCAAAAGTAATTAAGGATTATATTGACTTGGTTGTGTTTCACTTTGCTCTGCTATCAGTCCTGGAACTGACCCCATCTTCTCAAAAACCTCCCTTCACTTGTTTCCTGGGGTCCTCACAATATCAAGGCCTTTTCTATGTGTCAACTTTGTGGCTTCATTCTCTGCTTTTTATATTTCCATTTTATTGTGCCAGGTAAATCTGATTGCTTTAATTTTAGTTTGATTACTCTTGGTTAAAAAAAACTTCTCTTTCACCTTCAAACATATTTATCTCCTGGACAATGTTTTCTTACTGCAAAACAGGAAAGGAAGACTAAGGGTTTGGCCTCCTCATCTTTACCTTGTGATGGGTACATTTATGTGTCAAATATGCACATCACAGATGATGATCACGATAGTGTTTATAAAAATATATGTTACTGAGATAGAGGTGGAATACCTTCCCACTTTTTGGGGGTTTTTATCTGTAAATGTATTGAAAGAGTTGTGTGTTTGTAAATACCTGTAATTATATTAATGGCATATTTTTTATTGAAAGTTTTTCTTTGTTTACCTTACGTGATTCAGTTTTTATCCCCACATGTACTTTTATCAGAAGAATAATCATATGTGCCATAGGTAGCCTTCATTGATGCATTGGCAGACAGCTGGGTAGTAGGAAAGAAACGATAGTCATCTAGGCATCTGTTACTACTGTTGGCCTACTGTGTTTGAACACATACGCGTAAAAGCAACTTATTGATTGCCTTGTTGGTCAATATATTATTGGATATATCAAGTGAGGCTACTCAGAGTAACTATGATCTAACAGTTACAGATGGTTAATTCCTAAGCTGCTAGAGTGTGGTTATAAGATTTGTGAACTTAATTAGCTTTTGAATGAAGTGTATATATGATATTTCTGTGTGTAGCATAGTTTTAGATAAAGTGTTATGCTTAAAAAGTTTGTTGTAGGCTTTCTTTGGAACCTGAACGCAGTACTTAGTACTACCTAAATCGTGAGGGGCCTTCATTTTTTAGTGAATTTTGTAATTTCTCCTTGATGGCAATTACACGAAGCACACTTTTTAGAAAAGTTAAGCCACAAATGGCTTTTACAATGGTTCACCTTTAAGTAAATACCACAAAATTGTTTTTGGCTAGTTAACAACAGACCTCCCTTGAGCAACTGTTTGCTCCACATATTTAGTTGAACATTAGTTCAAAGAAAAAAGACTAGTTTGCAAATGGTTATAAGCATAACCTTTTTTAACTTTCGTTGATATTTTCTTTGCTTTAATAGTTTTAATTATTGTATATAGTTGAACAAATAATAGCTGGGCGTTTAGGTGGTGTTCTGTTGACATTGATTGAAAACTTCATTTCCCTTAAGGAAAGCATTAATATTCCCACATTACATTAGAAATTACGTGCATTCTAGTTAACACTTCTGTAATTAAAAGTTATCTTTAATGAGCAGTAACAACATGGTGTATCTTGAAATGATTTCAAGTGAAAAATAAGTTTATTTACGATTTTGAACAGTCCTGGTGTACCGATTAAAAAAAATTAAAGTCTTGATATATTAAATATTCAGGTTGTACATGTAAGTTGGCAGAGGAGACACTTTGAAGATGGTCAGTTTTCATTTACTCTCTAAAGTCTAATTCTTTATGTTGTTTTTAGTTGAAAAACTAAGAAGAAAATTTTGAGTGGCATGATACACGAATTAATAATAAATATATGAACAGATTAATGGAAAAAGGAAAAAAAAGAAATTTTTATATCAGCCCCCGGAGAGATTTGAACTCTCGACCCCTGGTTTACAAGACCAGTGCTCTAACCCCTGAGCTACGGAGGCGAACTTGGAAAGTGGAGGTAAAATTTACATACTGATCCCCTTTAAATTGTTACCACTCCCTTAGCGCCGATGAAATATTTGTTTCATTAGTATCCACACTTCTAATGAAAACCATTTACTTTCTGAACAAAAAAATATGCTTCAAAAGTCCATTAACTTCACTTGTCAACCAGCTTTCGTGGATTTTGGCCTTTATATCTGTGATCCCTATGGAGCTGACGGTCACAGAGAAAGAATTAACAATATGAGCACGACTGAAAATGGAATAAGGTACTATGATGCCTCTCAAAGCGTTCCAATAGTTTTCTTGCGTTCGCTTGGAGTGTATACTAAGGTTTCAACCTCGATCACCTTACTCACCACCCCCTCCCCCGACACAACTTATATACACTTCCTCTACGGCTGTGGTTGTTGACTTGTCACGCACTCCATCTCCACGTGACACAATAATTTGTCTTCGGTCGACAACAATCATGGCTACATTTGTGGTGATTGATTGAACATGATGAAGAAGAGAGAGGCCTTGAAATATTTTCAGGCATTGGGAAAAAATTTCAAGATGAAAGAGTTCAAGAAATACATCACAAAGAAAGAAGAAATTGATTTTTCATTGGAAGAGAAGGACGGCCATATTGTTTACGTTCCTGGCAAGAACAAATTGGAGGAGATTCCTGGTATTTATTTAAACAAAAAAATGTTATTTGCCATCAGTGAAGCTATAATTCTTACATTTTTGGCAATTAGAGGTTTAATTTGTTCAAATATTTTTGTCAAAAATGTGTTGCGGTTCTCATTCTGATCCTTTATGCAATTTTTGAGAGAAAATTAGTTAAAATGAAAGCTTTTATTTTAGGCAAGAGAAGTAATGGTTTATTTATGAAAGTTTTATAATATTTAGCAGCCCTTGTAAACTATGGGGCTTCTATGGACAAATATTTAGCTCGTTAGTCCCTTCTGCACGTCTGGTTAAATACCGTACATTTATTTTGAATCAATCGGTTCTTTATAAAGATAACCGTTTTGGTGGGGTCAGTCTTGACTGAGATGATGATTACTAATTCTGCTTAGGTCGTTGAAACGTCAGTCACTCAGCCGTTTATCTAGCTTGCAGAGCAGGCGTAATTTTGGCGAGCGAGTGCTCAGTAATGTGTTTGCGAAATTATTGACGCCATCTTTGATTTTAATTACAGCGGAAGGCTGGAGAGAGAAAGAAATCTGTATAAAGGGGGCGGTTGACGTTCGAAAATAAGGAGAGGGGTGGGGGAGTGTAGAATACACGGTCTGAGTGGAGATTCCCCTGTGATAATTATGTGAGAATGATAATAATAATTATGATTCATAACATTTCCTTGAAAGTTTGCTGGTACCCAATTGGAGAGTGCGGCTCTGAGTGACAAGAGCTGGTGTATGTTACCTAAGAATGTAAGACAATAATGAAGCCTGTGTTCAACCTGGACTTTTTCTTCCATAATCTAGTACTTTAAAGAGCCACAAGTTAAATCTCCATCCATTTTTCAACCAACATTTATCAGTTTTTTTTGTCCTTGTTGAATAATTATTTTTCAGCTGGATGCATCTTACACATGCTAAATGATCAACTTGTTTCCAATTTTGGTTTAAACCTCAGTGGAACCTTGGAATACTTGTCCTTCCCTGAACACTACCCCTTAACTTTGGTATTCAGATCAGACCATGGACAGGAAGGCAATCATATAAAGAAAAAGCTCACGGTTTGTAAATACCATATTTACTCAATATGTTGTTACAGTGTTGAATATATAGATTTAGCCAAGGCTAAAAGTGGAGCTCGCATTTTTTTTTTTCCTGCACGTCTCAAGGTCACAATGCCTTGCCCCGGCCATGACTAGAACCCAGGTTGTCTGACTCAGAGCCCAGCGCACTGACCACTGGATGGACTACTGAACATTAAGCTATGGCATTGGTGTGCCCGCAGTACAGTTGACTATGCATGTTAAAAGTAGCACCTTATATGGTCATACAGTTGTACGGTCGTATGGTCAAATTTTTTCGGCTTGATGGGTTACTACTATTTTGTATATTATACGAGCTTCACTATTAAATTTTTAGTTTTCTCAACTTGCCGCAATAATTCCAAGATGTGTTGGTCCCAGGTGATGGTATCCACACTTCAAACTTGCAAAGGCTGGATGGTTTTTTATTTTAATTTTTTTTACTAGTGTGTGCTTCACTTTTGAGAGTTTTAATCTTTTTTTGTGATCTGTACATTTATTTTAGCCTAAGTATTTCATAGTTTTTATTGCCTTTTGTTAACAACTAGAGAGATTTTTTGTATTTTCTCCATTGGATTGCATTTTTCAAATTACAGTTAACAGTATTATTAAATTTGATTTGAAAAGACAATGCAATAAAGAAAAACATGCTTAGTACTACACACTTAGACTTCAGAGATGAAGTCAGCTAAGTATATATTAAATTAATATATAAACTAATTCTTTGGTTTATGATAGCAGAGCTCACAGAGCATAGCCCCATAATCATACAAAATAGTAGTAACCCATCAGGCCAAAAAAATTTGGATGTACGACCGTACGACCATACGACTGTACAAGGTGCTACTTTTGACATGCGTGGTCAACTGTACCATGGGCATGCCAACGCCTCGGCTTTGTCCAGTATTCCAGTGGTCAGTGCAGTGGGCTCCGAGTCGGACAACCTGGGTTCTAGTCCTGGCCGGGGCAAGGGCGTTGTGCCCTTGAGATGTGCGGGAAAAAAATGCGAGCTCTGCTTTTAGGCTTGGCTAAATCTATATATTATTTGATTTATATTTTATGACTTATTTCAACTAATTATTATATTTTCTTACTTATGTTTTGATGAATAGTACCCAGTTCCAGACAATTTCTTTGGAGAAATAACACCTTTAACAGATAAAGAGATAGAACATTACACTAAACTAGCACAGTCTTGGGTCAAGGGACTGTTGGATGCCTCCACATCTGATGAGGTGAACTGTTATTAAGAATCATTTAGTACTTGAATGAATTATATCTTCATGTTAAGTCTTGATAATCATGAAAGTTCAACAAATGTTGGTTTTTTTTCTTTAAGTTTACATCAAGTGTCTTTGTAGGGTTTTGAGTATGTCTGCACCAAGAATGATGTTGACGTCTACCAAGGGACATGGCCAGGTAGTCAGGTACTGTGGATAACATGCATAGTTTAAATCTGATTTTCATTTTCTATGAATGGGTTATTGTTTTGAAGCATTTCAAAACATTAGTTAAAAAAATTAATCTCCTGACCCTCTGGAGATTCATCAGGATTATGCCATCATCATCATAATTATTGTTGTTGTTGTTTTTGTTGTCACCATCACCATCGTCATCATCATTGATATATATTCTTTTTAAGATGGCAGTTGCAAGGTTAATTAACCTAGCTTCTATTCTTCCTCACTATTAATAACAGCTTCATCTAATCCGTGGTGTTACCAGAGTTAAAGCATCCAAGGATGAAGCAAGAGCCCTTATGATATCAGATACTACAGAAAAGTTCCGACGTCTCTTCCACATGATAGGTGAGGGTGATGTATAAATGAAGGAACAAAATAACTCTATTGAATAAAGCTGAATGTATTAGAAAACTCTGAAGACACAGTTGGGATTGACTTCAACAAAGCCAGGTTGAATTTCACACCTGCATGTTGACCTGAGCTCAACAGGACTTAATTATGGAGCAAGCTTTAACTGGCTTTATAATGCAGGTTTGTACATGACAATTAGTGATCTATATGCTGTAAGAGTCAGTCATGTCAGAAAAGAAAGTATCAGCCTGAATGGAGATTTTCATTGATAATCTTGTCTTTTCTCCATAAGGATCTTAGTTGAATCTGTAAGATTTGTGAAGTAAAAAATTCTGTACTTTGAGAGAAATCAATTGGTATTTTTCTTCTTTTTCCTTCAGATGCTCATTTTCAAGATGGTTTAGTGTTGCATCAGTTTCCTGCTAATTACAAAGCCCCTCAAGTACCTTTCTATTCCATCAAGTGGGCGGTGATGGGGTCACCAGGGCCTGTTTGGTTCAGAGATGTCTGCTGGCTGGAATATGGAGACATAATCATTGATGAAACTGGAAATGAACTTGGATTTGGAGTGGTATGTACAGTGTTGTATACAATTCATGTTCTGCATCCTCACAAGTGACAGATTTAGCTGATACATGTGTCGAATATCAATCCTAAGTTCA